GAAGGCCAATGTAAAAGCTTGGTGTGCTCAAGACATATGGAAAAAAAAAATAGAGATGATAGATGAGAAATTTCCAAGGACGACAGAAAACTGATCACCATCTGAGTTATAGTTGCCAGAAATGTTCTCCCAATTCATTGTTGTCCTACTCGAAATACATGCACGATTAATGGCGTGGATTATTTTAATTTCTTTGCAGAAATAAAGAAGGTGAGACCGGGCGCGGTGGCTGACACCTGTAATCCCAGCACTTTGGGAGGCCAAGGGGCAGATCACTTGAGGTCAGAAGTTCGAGACCAGCCTGGCCAACATGCTGAAACCCTGTCTCTACTAAAAATACAAAAACTAGCTGGGCGTGGTGTGGGCATCTGTAGTCCCAGCTACTCGGGAGGTTGAGGCAGGAGAATCGTTTGAACCCGAGAGTCAGAGGTTGCAGTGAGCCGAGATCGCGCCATGGTACTCCAGCCTGGGCGACAGAGTGAGACTCCGTCCAGTCCCTCCAAAACAAAACGAAACAAAAACAAAAAACAAAAAAGGAAAGAAAGGAGGTCGGTTGCTTCGTTTTTGCCAGTTTAATTGTAGTACATTGTTTTTTCTGGGTGCCATAACAGTTCAAGACAGACGGTTCAAGATGTTTTTTGTTTCAACCCACAACACTGGATGTAGGTCAGGTTACTGCACTGTTCCAAAACACCTGTTATTTGACATGAATCAGTTTACTTGCTTATGTTTCTGACAAAAAAAAAAAAACCTTGGCCGGGCGCGGTGGCTCACACCTGTAATCCCAGCACTTTGGGCGGCCGAGGCGGGCGGATTACGAGGTCAAGAGATTAAGACCATCCTGGCCAACATGGTGAAACCCTGTCTCTACTAAAAATACGAAAATTAGCCGAGCGTGGCGGCTCGCGCCTGTAGTCCCAGCTACTCGAGAGGCTGAGGCAGGAGAATTGCTTGAACTCGGGAGGCGGAGGTTGCAGTGAGCCGAGATTGCTGCCACTGCACTCCAGCCTGGGCGACAGAGCGAGACTCCGTCTCAAAAACAACCAAACACCAAAACTTCTGGTTAATGTAATTGATTCGTCTCATTCAGATGCTGGAAAGTGGGCCTGGGATACAGTTAGCGATCGATAATAACACTGGCCCAACACACAGCTATAAGAAGGGAGGCAAGCACACAATAACACGGTAGCCTGAAGCCCAGGCGAAGTTTCCGCGGAAAGAACCGCTCAGACAGAGGCTGAGAGGCGTCAGCGGCGTGCGGTTTCCAAGGAAACCGTCCTTTCTAGCCACCCCAGCCGCTCTGGAGAGGTACCGCAAGAGGCTCCGCCCACGCAACCCCGAGACCGATGACGGACTGGGAGAGTTGAGCGCATGCGCAGAGAGCTCCAGCGTGTCGGCCCGCCTCCTTTAGGTGTGGGCGGGGCTTGGGCACGCGTGCGTCCTGCCCTCCCTGTGCACGCGCCGCCCCAGCATGCCCCGGGTGCGCAGGCGGCGGGTCCCTTGGTCTTCAGGCGGCCGTGGCGGCGGTGGCGGCGGTTGGGCCGAGAGAGGCGGCCTCAGTGGCCGAGGTGGCTGGACGCGTAGCAGGTGGAAGGAGGGAGGGAGCCGCAGGCGCAGACCCACCCGCCATGAAGCCCCCCGCAGGTACCGACTACCCCGCTCGCCGGACCCGGGCTCCCCTGCACCCTCGCTCCTCCCGGGGTCGCGACTTGGGCCTAAGGCTGGAGCGGAGTGGTCCCCGAGCCACCCTCGGCCGGGCTGGAGGGGCAGCGGGGGAGGTGGGCGACCCCGCTCTTTCGTTTGCAGAATGAAGGAACCAGCTTTTCCAGCGCTTCATTCATTCTGCAAAGTTGATGGCGCTTCCCTTCCGGATGGGTCGGGCCCCGTGGCGAACCCTCGGGAGGCCGTGATTTGAGGACTCCGGTCCCCGTTTTCCCGGAATTCTAGAGCCAGAGACAGACATTCAACAAGTAAATAAGCAAGAGAGGATCGAAGATAGGGAGGGATCGGTGCTCTGGAGTAAATAAACACGAACAGGGCAGTCCCAGGGAGCAAATAAACACGAACAGGGCATTCCCAGGGAGCAAATAAACACGAACGGGGCAGTCCCAGGGAGCAAATAAACACGAACGGGGCATTCCCAGGGAGAGGGTGGTCCTGGGGGGCTTTTCCGAAGAGGTGAGCCTTGACTTGCTTGATTGGGAGAAGCAGGTGTCCTGCCAGGACCGGGGAAGGAGGCGTCCCGGGAGGAGGGAACGTGTTTGGAAAGCAGAAAGTCAGTTTGGCTGGAACGTAAAGAGGGGACCTGTTTGTTGTGTTATTTATTTACTTTGGGGCCCAGGCTGGAGTGCAGTGGTGCGATCACGACTCCCTGCAGCCTGGAACTCCTGGGCTCAAGCAATCCTCCCGCCTCAGCCTCCTGAGTGGCTGGGACTACAGACCTGCACCACCACGCTTGGCTGATTTTTGTAGAGACGAGGTTTCGCTGTGTTGCCCAGGCTGGTCTTGAAGTCCTGGGTTCAAGCAATCTACCTGCCTCGGCCTCCCAGAGTACTGGGGATTGCAGACATGAGCCACTGTAGCCAGCCAAGACCCTTTTAATTTAAAGGCAAAGGGGTGATGTTAAGTGTTTTTTCTTTATTTGTTTATTTATTTTTTGAGACAGTCTCTCTCTGTCTCCCAGGCCGGGGTGTAGTGGTGCGATCTCTGCCCACAGAGGCTCTCTGCAACCTCTGCCTCCCGGGTTCAAGCGATTCTCCTGCTTCAGCCTCCCAAGTAGTTGGGATTTCAGGCGCGCACCACCACACTCAGCTAATTTTTGTATTATTGGTAGAGATGGGGTTTCACCATCTTAACCAGACTGGTCTTGAACTTCTGACCTCAAGTGATCCGTCTGCTTCGGCCTCCCAAAGTGCTGGGATTGCAGGTGTGAGCCACCGTACCCGATTTTAGAAAGTCACTCTGGTTGTTGTTGAGGCAAATCCTTGCCCGTATCCTTGGCTTTTCTCTTGCCCAGCCACATTCCCCCAGCTCTTTGTCCAGCCCATTGCAATGAGGGTGATAATTGTAATAATGATAATCAGGGATATTCAGGCCTTGGGAAGGAAGGAATGTCGTCTGCCTTGTTTGCTACTGGATCCTTGGCACAATCAGTAGATATTTACAGGATGAACTGACGTCCACAAGTTTTTCAAATCCTAACTCCTCCAGGAGAATTTTCTGACAATTCCAGTTCCCGTTGATCTCCGTCCTTTCAGAGCCCCTGAAGCTCTTCTTTACCCCACGGTTTAATGTAGATCCACGGTCCCTTTTTTGCAGTTCTAATATCCTAAATACTCTGTAAACTGAAAGGTTTGCCGTAAGTTTACAGCAAAGTCATTTGGCCAGAAAGTGACCGCAACTGACCGACCGACTGAGAGCCTTTCTTTTTCCCACTTAGCGAAAATCACTGATTCTCAGCTGGGGTGATTGTGCTTCCTCAGGGGACACTGGGCCATGTTTGGGGACATTTGTGGTTGTCACAGTTGGGGGGCGCTCCTGGTATGGAGTAGATGTGGGCCAGGGATGCTCAGCACCCTGCAGCGCCCAGGACAGCTCCACCCCAGAGAACGATCCGGCCCAGATGGCCACAGTGCAGACAGGGAGAGACCCTGGTGCGTATTCCTGCTTCTCGCTGCAGAAAGAGTAATTTGATTTTGGAGTGCTGCCCCAGCCTCCCTAGTGATTTGGAATACATGGTACTTGGACTCTTACTTTCCTACAATGGGGGGAATTCTGAATGGTAAAACGTCCCCGGCCCCAAGAGTTTTTGAACAGCAGAACATGGTCTGTAATAACAGCTACCTCTTGAAAACTTTCTGGTGGTATTCAGGATACAAGATGTTTCGCCTTCATTCCTCACTGAATTCTTAGACGGTTCTTGTTCTCTGCCCCCTGAATTGTTCCCGTTTTGCAGGTGGGAAGCCTGGGAGTTAACGTTTCTTGCCAGAGTCCCAGAGTTAGCAAGTGGCAGAGGTGGGGTCCGCACCCGGACCCTCTGACCTCAGCTCCTGCATTCTGAGCTCGCTTGTTGTACCTGCCCCAGCCTTTGTTAAAATGCACATCCGATTGTTAGTGCCACCGTCCCGTCCCCTTCCTGTCCCTTTCCAGGGCTCCACCTTGCACTCAGGATCGAAGTTCAAAGCCTTCATTGTCATCTACACCAGGAGTTGGCAAACTCTGGCCTGCCTATTTTTTCAAGACGGAGTTTCACTCTTGTTGCCCAGGCTGGGGTGCAGTGGCACGATCTCAGCTCACTGCAGCCTCCGCCTCCCAGGTTCGAACGGTTCTCCTGCCTCAGTCTCCCGAGCAGCTGAGATTACAGGTGCCGCCACCACGCCCGGCTAATTTTTATGTTTTTAGTAGAGACGGGGTTTCTCCATGCTGGTCGCACTGGTCTTGAACGCCTAACCTCAGGTGATCCACCCACCTTGGCCTCCCAAAGTGTTGGGATTACAGACACGACCCACTGTGCCTGGCCAAGATGGACTCTTGCTCTGTCACCTGGACTAGAGTGCAGTGGTGCAATCTCAGTTCATTGCAACCTCTGGCTCCCGGGTTCAAGCGATTCTCCTGTCTCAGCCTCCAGAGTAGCTGGGATTACAGGCCTGCACCACCACACCCAGCTAATTTTTGTATTTTTAGTAGAGACGGGGTTTTGCCATGTTGTCCAGGCTGGTCTCGAACTCCTGACCTCAAGTGATCTGCCTGCCTCAGCCTCCCAAAGTGCTGGGATTACAAGCGTGAGCCACCACACCTGGCCAGGCCTGCCTATTTTTGTACACCCCTGGAACTGAAGATGGTTTTTGGATGAGACAGAAAACATATGTGGGCCACAAAGCTGAAAATCCCTGGCCCTTTGCAGAACTATTTGCTGGCCCCCGGGTCCTCTGCGGGACTGTTTGCTGGCCCCCGGGTCCTCTGCAGGACTGTTTGCTGGCCCCCCCCGGACCCTCTGCAGGACTGTTTGCTGGTCCCCGGGTTCTGCACCGTTAGGGGTTTCCAGGTGGTTTTGCTGCCTTCTCTGTGCCGAGCCGCACTGACTTTCTTCACGTAGTCGCTCTTCCCGCAGCTGCCCTCGCTGCCCGGAGCCCCCGCCTGCCATTCTTGTTATCGGGCTCCGTTTGCCCGTTTCTCAGAGAGGCCCTGGAGTGAGTGGCCAGGCCACATATGACTCGCCCGTAGCACCTGTGGCTCTGGCGCGGCCACACGCCAGCCTGACTTTCTTGATGAGTCCGTGGATGGGGGCCTGCGTGTTCCCCTCACTGGGTGTGGGGTGTGGAAGAAGCAGGTGGAAGAAGGGACTCTTCCCGTAACCCCCCATACCTCACCTTTCCCCTCTGGCATGGCAGGGATTGAGCAGTGCGTGGGTGGTCCTGGACCTCGCCTTTTGTGAACACCCAGAGGTTTGTACAGGCTGATCTGTGCATGGTGTCTCTACTCTAGGACGGGGATTTTGTGGTTTTTTTTTTTTTGAGATGAGAGTCTCGCTCTGTCACCCAGGCTGCAGTGCAATGGTAGTATCTAGGCTCACTGCAACCTCTGCCTCCCGGGTTCAAGCAATTCTGCCTCAGCCTCCTGAGTAGCTGGAATTGCAGGCGCGCGCCACCACGCCCGGCTAATTTTTGTATTTGGGTTTTAGCGATGGGGTTTCACCATACTGGTCAGGCTGGTCTCAACCTCCTGACCTTGTGATCTGCCCGTCTTGGCCTCCCAAAGTGGCTGGGATTACAGGCGTGAGCCACCACGCCAGTCGGCAGGGGGATTTTTTTTTTTTTTTTTTGAGATGGAGTCTCTCTCTGTCACCCAGGCTGGAGTGCAGTGGCGCCATCTCGGCTCACTGCACACTCTGCCTCCCAGGTGCACGCCATTCTCCTGCCTCAGCCTCCTGAGTAGCTGGGACTACAGGCTCCCGCCACCACACCCAGCTAATTTTTTGTGTTTTTAGTAGAGACAGGGTTTCACCGTGTTAGCCAGGATGATCTCGATCTCCTGACCTCATGATCCACCCACCTCGGCCTCCCGAAGTGCTGGGATTACATGCACAAGCCACCGCGCCCAGCCGGGGATTTTTAACAGCAGCATTATCTCTATTCCGGGCTGGATTGTTCTCTGCTGGGGCCGTCCTGGTCACTGCGGGGTACTAAGCAGGATCCCTGGCCTCCAGCCACTCCACACCAGGAGCATCTGCAGCCGTGACAGCCACAGGTGTCCTAGATGTCACCCAGGGTCCCCTGGAGGGGATTGATGGCAGAATTGCCTCCTGCTCTAGAGACTGATCAGTCTGTGCTTCCCTACTAGAGCCCTGGAGCTCACTCTTCTGGATGAGAAGCGGGTGATCCCTCCTTTCCCTCTACCCTCCTCATTTTGACCCTAACTGAACCAAAAGCAGACCTGCCTGGCACTGGGTTTTGTTTCTGCGCAGCCTGTGCAGGAGACGTGGTGGACGCGGCGTCTCCGTGCTCTGTGGCAAACGACCTGCGATGGGACCTGAGCGCCCAGCAGATAGAGGAGCGCACCAGGGAGCTCATTGAGCAGACCAAGCGCGTATACGACCAGGTGGGCGCCCAGGAGTTTGAGGACGTGTCCTATGAGAGCACGCTCAAGGCGCTGGCCGACGTGGAGGTCACCTACACAGGTAAGTCCCAGGCAGGGTCTGGGCGTGGGCCACAGGTGCCGAGGGAGGTGGCACCGCAGGCAGGAGCAGCCCAGTCCGTGGAGCAGGTTCAGAACCCGGCGTGAAGTGTCACCAGCATCCTGCCCCTGAGCACAGGGCAGCGCCACCTACTCCCAGGCTGTTGTGGTGGCTAAACCGGACGGCTGGACGGAGGCATCTGGCAGGTGCTGGTCACTGGAGGTGTCGGAGAGAAGCAGTTCCGCCCGTGCTCTGCTCCGTTTCACAGCCTCGTCCGTTCAAAGGACCCCTTGGTTGTGTGATCTGAGAGCCGGAGATGTCTAAACAGCACACCTCTCCAGCCTCTCCCAGAGCCAGCAGCCTTGAAACCTGACCCTGTCTGACCTCTTTCCCTGGCCCGGGAAGGCGGGTGTTTGTTTTCTCTCTGAATGACTGAACTTGGCCCCTTTGGCTTCTGCCTCCCTGCCCTGCGGCGGGGGTGACCTCACGACCTTGGGCATCCTCCTCGCCCTCAGCCCGATCCTCCTCCTCTCCTTGGGGTCCCTGTGCTCACGGAGAGGAGTGAGGTACCTGGTGACATGGGTTAGGGACCCTGCTTCCCGAGCTCTGCCTAAGGCTGACAGTGTACCTGCCTGACCAAGAGACCCAGAGAGTCTCCGCAGGGAGCTCTGAGTGAGGCAACTCCCCGCCCTTCCATCTAGCAGAAGGCCTTTTTGCTGAGACCCATCGAGAATCCTTGAGTTCAGCCCAGGACTTCTCTTGTGTTCCGCCCAGGACTTCTCTTGTGTTCCGCCCAGGACTTCTCTTGTGTTCCCAAGGCATCCCCTGAAAGGGTTGGCCTCCGTGGCCCGTGCCGTGCGGCCTCCAGAGGGTTTGCTGTCTGAGCTGGGGGCTGGAGAGAGGGCTGAAGCTCCACAAGCACCCCGAGCCTGCAGAGCCTGCAGCCCCTGCTTGGAATCCTGACCCTCTTCCCACTCCCTCTGGCTTCTGACAAGTGGCTTAGAGCCCAGCGGGACCTTGGTTTCCCCTCCTCAGCCACATGGTGGCCCCTGGTCTCTCCCGCAGGAGTCTCCTGAGGCTCAGGTGATACCAGTTCCCTATTAGGGCGCCCAGCGGTGCCGGGCATCATTTCCCCCGCCCGTGCCCCGCTTTCCCCTCCTGCAGCCTTTCTTCTCCTCCTTCACATGGTGGCGAGAAGCAGCGTTAAAGGAAACTGAAATCGGCCCTGCTGCTCCCCTCGGAGCCTTTCCGCTGTCCTCAGGGTGACGCCCAGCATCCTCGGCGTGGTCTTCAGCGCCCTGCACTGTCTGTGCCTGGACACGCAGCCTCCTCGTGCCTGGCACCCTCCCCCAGCCAGGGCCTCCCCAGCCAGCCCCTCCTGCCCCTCGCGCCCCTCGCCCTGTGCTCTGCTGAATGCCCGGCTTCTCTCTGATCGCAGATTAAGTCCACTTAGCCCGGGAGCCCTTCCTGCTCCTCCTGTCCCCGTGCCAGCCGCCTGGATTAGTCCCTGCACGGCACTGACACTCGTCCCGGCAGTTGCTTGTCTAATCGGTCGCCCATAAATCCCGAGGGGACAGAGCCTATTTTTTTCTCTCTTCAGCCCCAGCATCAGGCCTGGCCGAGAGCCCCCACTACGAGCTTTTGTGTTGATTTTTTGAGACGGGGTCTTGCTCTGTCACCCGGGCTGCTATAGTGCAGTGGTGTGATCACGGCTCACTGCAGCGCCCATCTCCCAGGCTCAAGCCATCTTCCCACCTCAGCCTCCCAAGTAGCTTGGATGATAGGTGAGCTCCACCACGCCTGGCTGATTTTTTTTTAAAATTTTTAGTAGAGATGAGGTCTTGCTATGTTGCCCAGGCTGGTCTAGAACTCCTGAGCTCAAGCTTCCTGCCTGCCTCGGCCTCCAAAAGTGCGGGGATTACAGGCATGAGCCACTGTGCCCAGCCCATCCCCCTCCAAACGCACGGAGCCTCCTCCAAACACGAGGCTCGCGGACCTTCACTTGCCACAATTCGAGTACCTCCGACCTGCACTGCCAACTTCGGAAATTTAGGCTCTTCTCTTCTGCAAGCCACATCCCCGTTAAACAACAGCTATCATTACAGTTCTTCTCTGTTCACTGTTTTAGAATTACCCCGCTCCGTCCCACCGCTGATTACATGGCGCTGTCATGGCTCACTGCACCTTAACCTCCCAGCGCTCCAACGTGGCACCTGGCCTCAGCCTTCTGAGTACCTCGGAGCACAGGTCGCCACCGCCCTGCCTTGATCTGTTTCTTACAACCTCGGCCCACTGCAGATGCTGGCCTTGCATCACTAACCGTTCACCCATTAAACACCACAAACCCCTCAAGCGCGCGCCCACCATCTCGTCATCCAACCTTCGACCCGAGGTGCCGATACGATCCACCTGAGTCAGCCCCGCTCTCGCAGACCAGCCTACACTCGCCAGACAACTACTCAAAAACATACAAAATTAGCCGCGCGCCGTCGTGGTCTCATGCCACACCATTTCACTACTTGGGAGGTCCCGAGGCACACATCACGCACACCCGGCAGGCTGACGGTCTGCTGACGGCGATCATGCCAATCTTCATTGCACCGCTGGGCCACCAGCTCCGCAACCTCGTCCAGAAAAACAAACCACAACAAAACACACCTTCCCAGCTGGTTCTTAATAAATGCACGTTACCAGCCCACCACCTCATTCTTCACGAGCATTTCATACCCCCCCAGAGACGAAACCGTTCATACCTCCAGCTCCACCGCTCCCATCTCCCTGCCCCCACGCCAGCACCATCGCACTCCTGCTCTCTGTGGGACCCGTGCGCCTCCCTTGGGTACATCCTCTGTGATGGACATTTCACAGAACTGCATCCACAGCCGGCGGCGCTCACGCCTGCTAATCTCCTCACTTGGAAGCCAGAGGTGGGCTGCATCCGGCAGTCAGTAAGCTCAAGACCGCCTGGCAACACCAAACCCACCGTCTCCTACTAAACATAAAAAACAATTCACCAGGCATATGCCCTGTATCCAGGTGCTCCGCCGAGACTGACGCGCACCGAGACCTCACTTAACCCAGCGAGCCCGAAGGCTTGCCTCAGCCGAGACACTCTGCCCTGCGCCTCAGATCGGCACCAGAGCGACTTCGTCCAAAAAAAAAAAAAAAAAAAAAATGGCAGCTCACACCTCGTGTGGCCTTTTGTGTCTGGCTTCTTTCTCTGCATGTGACGTCCTTGGGTTGCATCCACACCGCAGCCTGTTTCAGAGCCTCCTTCCTTTTCATGGCTGAGTCATGTTCCATTTGGCAGAGGCCACATCTTGTCAGTCCGTTCACTCGTGGATGGGCCTTTTGGCAATTGCGAATCGCGCTGCTGTGAGTGCACGCGTGCAGATTCCGGTGTGGATGTGTGTTCATGTTTCCCGGCTGGATGACTGCAGTGGAGTCTTGGGGGTTGTGGGATGACTCCATTTTAAAGCTTTTTTTTTTCTTTTTTGAGATGGAGCCTCACTCTGTCACCCAGGCTGGAGTGCAGTGGTACCATTTCAACTCCCTGCAACCTCCGCCTCCCAGGTTCAAGCAATTCTTCTGCCTCAGCCTCCCAAGTAGCTGAAATTACAGGCGCGTGCCACCATGCCCGGCTAATTTTTGTATTTTTAGTAGAGATGGGGTTTCACCTTGTTGGCCAGGCTGGTCTCGAATTCCTGACCTCAAGTGATCTGCCTGCCTCGGCCTCCCAAAGGGTGGGATTACAGGCTTGGCCACTGCACCCGGCCTAAAGCCTATGCTTTTCTAGCCACTGGCATTTCCTCTGCTCAACCTAAAGTGCAGATGTGCTCAGGAAGGTGTGAGTCGTTCATGCATTTAAATGTGCCCATCGCCAGCTGCAACTCTCTGTGGAAGGGAACTCCGCCAGCCTCTCTGTTTCCTCACACCCAGCTCTGTCTTTTGGGGTCCTTCTTGCCTTGGAGGGCTTTGAGTTGAATCCATGTTTTTCTTTGGTCTGTAAGATCAGGCCAAAGAAAGGACACAGGCGACAGCACCTCCTTTCTCCATTCCAGGGCCCAGCCTGGAGGGGCGGTTGCATGTGCCTGTAGTCCCAGCTACTTGGGAGGCTGAGGCAGGAGAGAGCTTATGGGGGGATCCAGCAGACGGGCCTGGGAGAGGGGTCCGGCAGCACCTGCCAGTTGCACCAGGGCCCATTCTCACAGCTGTCTCCCTGGTCTCCCTGTTTTAGTTCAGAGGAATATCCTTGACTTCCCCCAGCATGTTTCTCCCTCCAAGGACATCCGAACGGCCAGCACGGAGGCCGACAAGAAGCTCTCTGAGTTCGACGTGGAGATGAGCATGAGGGAGGACGTGTACCAGAGGATTGTGTGGCTCCAGGTGAGGGGGAGTGCTCCCCGCAGGGAGTGTGAACAGCCTCCCGAGTAGCTGGGATTACAGGCACGCGCCACCACGCCCGGCTAATTTTTGTATTTTTAGTAGAGACGGGGTTTCACCATGTTGGTCAGGCGGGTCTCGAACTCCTGACCTCAAGTGATCCGCCCACCTTGGCCTCCCACAGTGCTGGGAAGACAGGTGTGAGCCACTGTGCCCGGCCCATTTTTTAAATTTTTAGTAGAGACGGGGTTTCATCATGTTGGTCAGGCTGGTCTCTAACTCCTGACCTCAGGTGACCCACCCACCTCAGCCTCCCACAGTGCTGGGATCACAGCATGTGCACTTGCTTTTCCTTTCCTGGCCATCCTAGGTGTGACCCAGATACCCCATCCCCACGTGGCGTGAGCTGACAGGGCCTGGCGGCGTGGCTGCGTGGGCTTCTGCTCCCCCGATACTCCTCCCAGCATGCAGTGGGGCTTTGCTGTTGGTGTCACATGATCAGAAGAGACCCAGAGACCCTCCTGCTGCTGCTCATCCTCTTAGGCGAGGACCCCCGGGAAGGTGCTGATGTGTCCCCCAGTGTCAGGAACGTGCAGCCCTGGTGCTTTGGTAAATACAGATGAGGGTGGCCCGTGATAGCAGTGGATTATTATTATTTTTATTTATTTATTTATTTTTTTTTTTTTTTTTTTTTTTGAGAAGAGTCTCCCTCTGTCACCCAGGCTGGAGTGCAGTGGCGCGATCTCGGCTCACTGCAAGCTCCGCCTCCCGGGTTCCCACCATTCTCCTTCCTCAGCCTCCCTAGTAGCTAGGACTACAGGCGCCGCCACCACGCCCAGCTAATTTTTTTTTTTTTTTTGTATTCTTAGTAGAGATGGGGTTTCACCATGTTAGCCAGGATGGTCTCAATCTCCTGACCTTGTGATCTGCCCGCCTTGGCCACCCACAGTGCTGGGATTACAGGCGTGAGCCACCATGCCCAGCCCTTTTTTTTTTTTTTTTTTTTTTTTTTAAAATACAGACAGGGTCTCACAATGTTGCCTACACTTGTCTCAAACTCCTGGGCCCAAGCAATCCTCCCACCTCCACCTCCCAGAGTTTCTGTTGAAACAACGAGAGGTTCCCATGCAGGTGCAGGAAATAATCGAGTGCCCTTGTCAACTTTGCCCACGTCCACCAGTGGTGACGTTTTGCAAAACTATGGTGTCATCTACACCCTGATACGGACCTGGGGGCAATCAGCAATCTTGTTCCCATTCGGCCACGCCGAGGGCTTTCCTCACTGGCAGCACTCCAGGGCCAGAGCTCGTCCAAACAAAGCAAATGTTCGCTTGGGTTTTGTGTAGTCGCAGGTCGTCATTTCTCTGAGCTAAATGCCCAGCAGTGCAGTTGCCAAGTCACATGGGGGCCAGATGATCAGATTTTTAAGGAACTGCCAAACTGTTCTTTGGAGCAGCTGCACTGGCCCACGTCCTACATGCTTTGACGTTTTTATTCCAGGAGAAAGTTCAGAAGGACTCACTGAGGCCCGAGGCTGCACGGTACCTGGAGCGGCTAATCAAGCTGGGCCGGAGAAATGGGCTTCACCTCCCCAGAGAAACTCAGGACGTGAGTGCTGGGTGTAGGGAGTGCTGGGTGTGGGCAATGTTCGATCCCAGGGAGTGCTGGGCACAGGGAGTACTCAGTCCCAGGGAGTGCTGGGTGCAGGAAGTACATGGCAGGGGGAGTGCTGGGTTCAGGGAGTGCTGGGTCCCAGGGCATGCTGGGTCCTGGGGAGTGCTGGGTTCAGGGAGTGCTTGGGCACACGGAGTGCTAGGTGCTGGGAGTGCTGAGTGTGAGAAGTGCTCGGTCCCGGGGAGTACTGGGCATGGGGAGTACTGAGCTCAGGGAGTGCTCAGGCAGGGGGAGTGCTGGGTCCCGGGGAGTACTGGGTGTGGGGAGTACCGGGTGTAGGGAGTGCTCCATCCTGGGGAGTACTGGGCACGGGGAGTGCTGCGTCCCAGGGAGTGCTGGGTGTGGGGAGTGCTCCCTCAGCCCTTGGTGGGAGTGTTCCCAGGACCTTGCGTCTTCCTGCAGCGCCCGCCCCGGTCTCTCCTTCCTCTCACATCTTGCCTTTGTCTCCAGAAAATCAAAAGCATCAAGAAGAAACTGAGCCTCCTGTGCATCGACTTCAACAAGAACCTGAACGAGGACACGACCTTCCTGCCCTTCACGCTCGAGGAGCTAGGTAGGGGCTGGGCAGTGGGGAATGGGTTGCCATCGGTCCTGGGACTCACTGCAGGCCTGCCAGGCCCTCGGGGGCCGCCGCTTCCTCCTGTGGGCTTCTGTGCTGAAGGGCGGCGGGAGGCCGAGGTACATGGACCTGACCGCCCTGGGCCGAGGGCTTTCCTCACTGGCAGCACTCCAGGGCCGTTTACAGCCAAAAGCTCTGACCCCTCCTTGGGGAGGGCCGTGGTCTGTCCCACCAAGATGCCGCCCTGATAGAAAATGTCCCTGGCAGTGGCGGGAGCCCAGGCCGGACTGGGCGGCCAAGAGTGCCAGTCTCAGCTGTGGCCCTGAGGTAACCACAGTTTTCCCTTGAGACCCCACTTCCTGCCTGCCTTTATTTTTATTTTATTTTATTTATTGATTGATTTATTTATTTTGAGATGGAGTCTTGCTCTACTGTCCAGGCTGGAGTGCAGTGGTGCGATCTCCACTCACTGCAACCTCCACCCCCTGGGTTCAAGTGAGTCTCCTGTCTCAGCCTCCTGAGTAGCTGGGACTGCAGACTTATGCTATGACACCTGGCCAATTTTTTTATTTTTAGTAGAGATGGTTTCGCTGTGTTGGTCAGGCTGGTCTCAAACTCCTGGGCTCAGGCTATCTGCCTGCCTCAGCCCCCCAAAGTTTTGGGATTACAGGCATGAGCCATCGCACCTCGCCGGGCCGGAACATTCTGATGGGTGCTACAGAATATAACCTCCACTTCTAGATTTTGAATGTGGTTGCCACTGAGGTGACAGGTGGGGACAAGGCCCTGATGGCCCAAGGCCTCCACGGGTGGCTTGATGTGCGGTCAGCTGGGCGCATGTTTCCTGAGGGAGCACTCGCACGTCAGGCATCGCCAAGCTTGGCTGCCAGCCCCTCGCTTGGCCCTTCTGTGTCTCGGGCAGCACATCCTACCCCCTCAGCTCCGGGCACTCAGGAGCGACAGCGGGCTACGATCTGCCGTAAAGCACGTTACCAGCCCCGGGAGCCCAGCCTACCACTCAGTGGTGCACTGATGACCCACATCATTCCCGTGGCCACCCACACCGTCCCTGCAGCCACCCGCGCCGTCCCCGTGGCCACCCACACTGTCCCCGCCACCTGCGCTGTCCCTGTGGGGCTGCCCCTCCCACCTGTCCATGTTAGCAAGCAGAAGGGCTCGGTGCCCGATGTGCTGGAAGCCAGTGCCATGGCACCAAGGTTTTGAGGAAACAAAAGCTTTTCAGTTGCAAGTGACTCCCAAGGAGACCGGGCGTCCAGCTCAAATCTGCCTCCTGCGCCGGCTTTCAGGCGTACTTTCATTCAAGAAGGTGTAGAGGTGGGTTCTGGGATGAGCAGGTGATTGGTGGAAGGAAAAGGGAAGGTCTGGAAGGTCCTCGGGCACGCACAGTTATCTGTCCATGCCAGCTCAGGGTCCCGGTGCGAATCCTGGGGACGTCGGTGTGAAGCGCGGTGGAAGTTCAGTTGGCGTCCTCGAGCTGGTTCTACACAGACTCTGCTGGCTCATGTGGGTTCCAGCCGGTTTCAGCCAGTTTTGTTCTTGTCAGTGTTTTCTCTGCCTGTTTGTTTTCATGTTTGCCATCCTGCAAACTCAAGAGTGTTTGTCGATTTTGGTGTCTAACTCTTGGGAGCGCTGTTTCATTTGTCCGGCCTGCAGGGCCTCCTGTGCAGGTGGCTTGAGTCCCATGTGGCCGGGTGACACCATCACGCGGGCGGCTAGCACATTGGGTGACGGTCCTCCAGGGCTCTCCGCTGCCCCGGGACCTGTTTCCCGGGGTGTCGTGGTCAGTCACTTGTCAGGAGACACTCTGCCTTAGTCCCTTTTCTTCTGCTTACAACAGAAGACCTAAAGCCATGTAGTTTATAAGAAAAGGAATTAACTTGTCACGGCTGTGGAGACTGAGAAGTCCCAGGTCGAGGGGCTGTATCTGACGAGGGCCTTCTTCCTGGTGGGGACTCTGGAGCCCTGAGGCGGCCAGGGTGTCACCTGGCAAGGGAGTGGGGCCTGAGCGAGCGGTCTCCCACCCGAGGTCCCTTCCTTTCCTCACAAGCCCCAGTTCCCCCACTGCCTACATTAACGCCGTCCAACCCCTTCATCCATTCCTGAAGGTGGAGCCCACATACCTTGCTGCCCTGTGAAGCCCAGTACCCAATCCTGCCCATCTCCAACACCCACATCCCAAACACGCCATCGTCCCGATAGCCACAATCTCCCGATTATGCCTCCCCAAAAAAAACAAATCCTCCCAACACCTCCCATCTCCAACACCGCCAATGCTCTCCGATACCATCTCCAACACGCCATCTCCAACAGCATCTCCAGACAGCCACCATCTCCACAACACCGCCATCTCCCGATAGCTCAT